TCTCTCTCTCTCTCTCTCTCTCTCTTTCTTCCTTTCTCATTGCGTTTGTCGTTGATCAGATCAGCATGGAAGCAAAGTCGCTTTTTGAATCAATTGAACCCCAATCTTTTTCTTGCGATCAATGCTAACGACCATGGCACTCCACGTGATCTTGCTTCGATCAACCGACAAGAAGAAAAATACCGATGTCCAAATCGAGGATACTCACCCAGTCTGGTGAAGCAGGTCACAGAGATGAAACAGGATGTCTACTTCCAACGGGGTTATTTGGGACATCATTTGTGCAGAATATAGAAATTCCTCTGGAAAGAGAAATGACGAACTCGATAATGTCAGGAGAAAACAGAAGAGAAATGTACTGATAACACGTTATATTTCAATCTTCGTCGCATCATTACCTTTAGTAACTTCTTGATATCTATGGCCGTTGGTTGCATTCAAGTAGATACGCTTAATAAGTTCCATGTTATTCAAAAGAGAGTTGAACGCCATAAAATATGGAAAGCTGACCTTTCGCCCGCTTTGGCCGGCACCAACTGCCTGCAATGCGCAAAACCAAGTTTTTTATAAATATATTCGTGACGTGCGTATGAGTTATGTTTCGATCAATTTCATGATATTATTTCAGGCCGATATATCAAAAACTTGAGAACGCCAAAATTAATGATCGACAACTCATGTCACGATAAAATAGAATAATTAAAATTTAACTGTCCACTCGTAAGATCTGTTCGTGCAATACTTACAGCGATTAGATTATCTCTCACGTCTTTTGTCAGAAGATGACTCTTAATACTGAGCATGATGTCTTGAAAATCCAATGCGGAAATGAAACCTGCGCCATCCTTATCGAATTTCTTGAAGGCTTCCGTCGCATATTCTTCGTGAAAGTCCTGAGAAAAAGGATTTTTTTTTTTTTCACAAAAAACACGATATCCCTGTTTCATTTTTATATAGCGATTAAAGTTATGTTTTTATTGCATTATTATCTTATATCGCTCTTGTAATTGTAATTTCCTAACAAAACTAAAACTCTTTTCGAAATTCTGAAAAACTCGATCTGTAAAAATTTAATTTTATTCGTTAATAAAATATTCAATCAATTTAAAATTAAATTAAAATTCAACTAAATGATTAATATTTGAATATAAATATATTTAATTGATATGAATATAAAAATATGAATATTCGAGCGACTTAAAAATTAATTTAATTAAGCTTTTAAATATGAATATTTAATTGACTTTAAAATTAATTTAATCAAATTTTCAAGACAGGTATAACCTTCGAATTTTACAAAACACTAATATAGACCGCAATATATGTATGTATTTCGTAATCATCGTCATTTGTTACGTCAAGGTTTGCATTAGGTGTTGTTTCCTTGAAGCGAGAATAATAAGCGAGTCCGCAATCAAGCATGCAATAAAAAGAGAGAGGAAGAGAGAGAGAGAGAAACTCACGTGCAAAAACTGACTGAACTCGGCATAGCTGATCAGCCTCTTCTTATCCTTTCCAAAGTAAAGTTTGATAAAGCTACTATCCATATTAAAGGGCATCTTCTGATGCAGCACAGTTTTCCGCATCACCTCAACGAATTCATCTGCAAATTGATCACAGGGCACGAATGAATATAAAGCGTGAGTGGATGATTCTAAGAAAAAATTGCGGTTTCCCCGTAATTCCTTACCAAATGCAACCATTCCATTTCCATTAGTATCAAAGAGCTGAAAAGCCGTTTTGTATAGAGCGTCTGGTACACAGAGGAGACCTTCGAAGGCTTGAAATTCGGCAAACGATATGAGCCTGAAACGTGACGGAGTCAACTTTTTTCAGCGAAAGGCTCTTCCCTTTGGATAAAAGCACAGATCGTTTTTGTTTCGAAAATTAATGTGAAAAACTAATTCTAATTAACTAATTAAGGAAAATTATGATTAATAAAATAATTATAATTAATATGAAAGTTAATTACAATATCAAAACAAAGTTGTTCATTATATTAATTACAATAGTAAAAAATACGTATATAAAACATTGCACGGCTTTAAGGACGATATTTAAACTAAATGGTGAAAATTATTGCGTCTTCCGCGATAATGTCGGTGCATCACTTACCCATCTTTGCTAGTGTCGACGATACCAGCAAGTAAACTGACAGAATCAGGATTGTAATCGACATCCGTATAAAGGCCAAGATAACTGCGTACGAAGTCAGATGCGGTCATGAACCTTTCGCCATTCTTCTCCTGTGTGGCGTACTGCAATTCGAGAACGGCTGAATGATCAGATTTGCAATTTCAACAGAAGGCTATGCGTCATCCGCATATACGTGTTCTCCAATGACGTCGCGCGACACTTGCGAGAAGCAATGAAACTAACGCGAAAAACGCAATTCGTTCGGGCGTTTCATTCGCTTACCTGGTTAAAAATTTCATGGAGGCGTTCAGTATTCGCACGTTTTAAATACCCGGAACCCTGAAACATGAGAAATCGTGGATGAGCGATTTACTTTGCACATGCGCGGCGTTCGATGAATTCTTTCGGCAAGTATCTTGTACGGTGAAATTATACGAGGTCACTGTGACAAGTATGAACTGACGATAAATAGTTATCGATCGCAATTTCCGACAATGAGCGACATGGATTACGTATAATATTCCAAACATCTTTGTTGGGGGAGAAAACGACGATGAGCGCGATTGATCGGGTTCGTCGCAGGTATGATAAGTTTACAATATCGTCGAAGTGCGGCGCTTATCTTATCTCGCTAGCGGTTTTTCTATTTCACGTTATATTTGCCTAGCGAGTAAAAAGCCGTTGCTGTTTTGATTGTCGTGCGGATTTTTCCGGAACAAGTACGTGAGACAGCAACGTGACACGTCACTTCCTCAGAAGAGAAATCTTATTTAAAGTGGGTGGAAATTTCGTAGAAGCGAAAAATCTACCACTCGGAATCGCAAAAGTAAGCATTTCAAATTTTAAGTGGATTCTGACTGCATACCAGTGAATTTTCAATCGATTAAAGTAAATTATTTCCAGTGTCGATGGAATATATTGAATTCACTCTTCAATGCCGAATAAAGATATTCATTCGACGATTCAGAACGGAGAATTCATGAATGAAAAGTCGCTCGAATCCAAGTGACTCGGTGATCGCTTTATTTGTCGAATGAGATTTTACTTCAAAAAATTTAGAAAGTGGAAAATCACGCGAATTACTATCTGTCGAATTGCGAAATCATGTGAATTACGAGAATTCGGAGCTCGCTTTGAAACAAAAAATCATCTCTTTCCCTCTCCCTCTCTCGCTGCTTCCTCGCTTCCGTGGATACGTCTTCGCGGCTCACGTGTTGCTCACGTGTCCGTCACGTGGAACGACACCTTACATTTCGGACCGCAACAAATGGAGTACGCGGCTCATGGCTGCAAGACGAGAACGAACATGACGCGGAAAATAATGAACGAGCGCGGTGCGGGAGAGTCATTACGCGAGGGAGTGTGCTTCGCGAAAGCGATAACCCAGCATAACGCGAGATTCTCTTCCTCGATAGTTCGGATATCAAGGATGTGGGACATACTTAACTTGCATCACAGCATCTCCACGTTTCTGTAACCGAATTAAGATCACGGCCCTGTCTCATAGTACTTCCCCCGCACTACCTCCGGTGAACGATATCAAGCCGACGTTTAGTTCGATATTGCTAATTAAATGATTGCGCTATTTATCTACCGATAATTCTTAAGATATCTTGGAAGAAATAGTAACGACCGAAAGTACCTCTTCCTCTAAATCAAAGTTCCTCTTTTATTTTGTCGTTTTTTTTCTATTTTGTATTTCCATTCGAAAAACAGTGCGATAGCCGGCTCATTCGAATTCAAATGACTTTTCATTTATATAGAATGAATTTCCTATTTCGAATCGCCGAGTAAATTTTTATGTGAAATTGAGAAATATAAATCTGATGTTCTCCAATACTCCTGGAATATATTTATCTTAGTCGACTAAAATATTTGCTCGAATTCATACGGATTCAGCATCCAGTTGGAATTAAATTCATTCTTGTGATTTAGTACTTTTACTACCGATTCAATAAACGTTCACCCGTTCATTTCGAGTAAAATTTTTCTCCTAAGAATTTCGAAAATGTGTATTCATTTGCATTTATTTCTGAAATTATGTTCACATGTTTCGAAACACCCTATATATATACTTTATGAATTCCATTATATTTATATCACCTTTATATATTTACATTATCTCACTATAATATATTTATATTATTTATTTTTATATGTAATTTCCTTTAGCACGATCGAGTTTAACTGCTCATATGCGAAGCTAATTGTATATCTATCAAAGATACTCGTGAGAGACAAAGTGGAACATGTATCGCGCATTCGAACCGCTTGTCGGAATAATCGAATTATATTGTATTCGCATTCCGAGCTTGACCCGGCGTCACTTACAGAACGTCAAAATAATGGAATTAAATTCGATCGAACTGTGAGTGCCGTCCGACACGTTGCGTGCATTATGATATATAAATAGTACCTCATAATTAATCTAGTTAAAGTCGTCACTCTAACGAAGCGGGATGAAATGCGAACGACATGTATATATAGAGCATCGCCATAAGGACGTGACAAAAATAACGGGCAGCTAATATACATCTCTCTCTCTCTCTCTCTCTCTCTCTCTCTCTCTCTCTCTCACACACTCACTCACTCACTCATTCACTCATTCACTCACTTACTTTCTCTCTCTCTCTCTCTCTCTCTTTCTCCCTCTCCCTCTCTCTCTCCGATTTATTATGACGCGCAGCACACGTTGAACAGAATAAATAACCGTCAACTGTGCATCAATATCAATTAGCATTTACCGGGATATGAAAAATTTAATATTTGTTAGTAACGCAATTTTTTGTGTGATAACGACCCTACCTCGCTTTGGATTTCTTTTTATGGGGTTATTTAAAATTTCGTGTATACAATAACGATAGTTATTATCAACAGTTAGTTGATAGAATAATAGATCCCACAGATAAAAAAATATTCGCACTGAACTTAAGTAAAATTAATTAATAACGAGCCAACAATGAGCAGTAGAATATTTGCAAATAGAAGGTGAATATTTTGAATGTATACATAAAAAGTTACTTACAATTGTTATGGCATTCGCACGATATTGTCTTATTCGCGTTTTCACCTACTTCCGTGGATATAAAAAATATCTAATTAACAGTAGTAAAGAGTTACTGCTCGTATCGATTTCACGAATTCAAGAAAAGAATCGATAACGGATTACAGCGCGCATAAACAAGGATGCGATATGATACAGTCGGATACGCAGACATTGATAGACTTGCACCTCTCCGCTTATCTATCAAAATCTGATTCGATTCCTTCGGAATTCTAATGACGACAGGGACCTCTGATCTATACATATGCATGCTGCTAATAGTTCGCCTATTACATATAACTATGATGATGAGGGACTAGTCGTCCTCTGTTTAATTAAGCCAGCCACGTTCACTTGACAAATATTCGCCAAGTCGACGAGCAAATATCACCGTGCAGATAAGTAATGCGCACACCGCGACGCAGTGTATCTAGAATTGTTTTTTCAACTGCATACGGTCAAATAATGAAATTCGTCACGTGTGTACGTGTCGAATGATCTTCATGTTACTTTGACACCAATAATTGTTCCAAATCACTTTTTCCATAACAGCTTAATAAGAGGTGCTCTTTTTCTTCCTTATTAGAGATAACAATAACGTAATTGTATTTTTGTGTAACGCTAGTGAATATAATTTTTTATCTTTATTTTACGCACGTAGAATACATCTACATGAGATGAGCAGCAACGGAGTTGTAAGAAAAAAAGATCTTCAGAACTTGGCGAGAAGAATAACAAAAACTGCAACGACTCACCACTTCTTAAGTAATGATAATAATACATTATTAATCAACTTAACAATATTAAAAGTGATAATAATAAATCATTAACTATAATATCAAATTAGTTAACGATAATGATACATTCTTGGGTAGATATTTTCCGAAAGAAGTTTCCCGCTAATTTAATATTGTCAAACCAGTTAACGTAGAATATATAACAGTAAATTTTCGGATGACGAGTTGTTTCCGTAAAAAAAAATCTATTTACGGTGATTACTTTTTTTTTTCGACAGGTAACAGTAACGAGTCACTTCTTAAAAGTACTTTCCCAACCATGATTTTTACTTGTCGCGAGACTCACCACGGCGAAAAGTCTCACGACCTTCCCACTTTACAACGTGGACACACATTCACTGAATGTCCAGCGAGTGCTCATCGCGTCATCTGCGTGCAGCGGCGCATCCTCACGTGTATCACCTTACACACAGGACGCGCTTCGGAAGTTCGCAAAAGTGTTACGAAAAATCATCGGAGCGTGTCCTGCATCATTGTCACGGACACGACCTTTTCCGGCAAACTGCCAGTCGAACGCGATCTAATGCCGCGGTTAAAGGTTACTACACACCGGCGTCGTCGTCATCGTCGTCGTTGTTTCACGAATGCGATCCAACCGACTGAATCTGGGACGCCCTCCAACTTTCCGCAGGAAAAATCCACGAAGTAGTTCCGCGCGATGTTTGTAGATCTGTACTAAACATTATCCGTACATTCCTACAAACGTGAAACTCGCCCGACGATCGTCGACGGGTTATTATATCATCGATACTGGGCGACAGAACAAAGAATCCATCACGCGGTGAAAATTCGCCGAAAACTGACGAAACTGAACGAACGTTCGTGCGTGCCCAAAACCCTTCCCGAACGAGAAGCGGAGAAAGGACTTTCTCTTTGTAGCCCCGATTTCGAGAGAGTCTTCCTCAAAATGAAAAGATACTTCCGCGGAAATACGTTCCAAAGACGTCTGAAAGATATTTAGAACAAGCAGGATGTCCTTAAGATATCCTTTGGGCAGTTGAGCTACTTGAGCCATCCATCCAGTAGGTTTTACTGCACCTACACGACCAATAAAAAGACTCCTTTCCAGAAAGGACCCCCTAAATCTCCTCCTGCTAGTCTCAACTAATTAATTCGTCTCTAACGTGCGTTGTAGTTTCATGCTCGAGGTCATACGTAGCCGCTGTTGTGCGGCGCGCTTTAACCTCGAGGTGATTAAGGTCCATCAGTGAGGGGCGAAAGAAGAAGCTAAATAAAAACGGATATTACGTACTCTCGAAGTCGGCATATTGTCGTTGCTGTTGCTATGCTAAGTTAATCTAATCTAGCAATCCCAATCCTCCGATTATCGATAGGAATTGGCCAAGAGTGACGACATCGACGGCGAGGTAGCTCTCTCACGCCGAGGAGGAACTCCTGCGCATACGCTGATACAATGACGGCAACGCGCGCGTTGTCCCGTGTCCAGGAAGTGTCCGGAAGACGCGATACACCTGCGGACGACACACGTGTCGAGCCGA